GCAACAACACATATGTATAATTACTAAACTCCTTCTTCACCAAAATATTCTCAAAACAGAAATTTGGGAGTTCTCTTTAAGAACAAGAAGGAAGTCCGGGTGCCTCGGTGGCTCAGTCAGTTAAGCTCCTGCCTCTTGATTTGGGCTCAGGTCATGATCTCAGGGTCCTGGCTCGGATGGGAGTCTGCTCGAGGATTCTCCTCCTCTCCCTCTGCTCTTCCCCCCTGCTCACATGTTCTCTAACTAACTAAATAAATAAAATCTTAAAAAAAAAAGAATTGAAGTAAATCAACAAGCCCTCAGTGAGATAAGCCATGGCATCAGCTGGTAAATTCTAAGAACCCAGTTGCAGATCTGGGGGAAAATAATTTTGAAGATTTTATTTATTTATTTGAGAAGGAGACAGAGCATGAGTGGGGGGGGAGCGGCAGAGGGAGGAGAAGCAGACTCCCCGCTGAGCAGGGAACCAATGCGGGGCTTGATCCCAGAACCCCAAGACCATGACCTGAGCTGAAGGCACACACTTAACTGACTGAGCCACCCAAGTGCCCCTGGGGGAGAACCATTTTGACGAAAATTTCATTACAACCTCAATTTCCAAGAATATTTTCCATCACTTTTCCATGAGGTTGAAGACATGCTAAGTAAAGAGTTACCATGAGTGTTATGAGTGTTCAGTTAAAAAAAAAGAAAAGAAATGGCAAAGTGAGTAGAAAGAAAAAAAAATATAGGACAAAACTTATGGTATGGGGCGCCTGGGTGGCTCAGTCGGTTAAGCATCTGCTTTCTGCTCAGGTCATGATCTTGGGGTCCTGGGGTTGAGTCCCATGTCGGGCTCCCTGCTCAGCAGGGAGTCTGTTTCTCTCTCTCCCTCTGCCCCTCCCCCCTGCTTGTGCTCTCTCTCTCTCTCTCTCAAGTAAATAAAATCTTTCAAAAAAGGTTAAAAAATAAAAATCTTAAAATTTTTTTTTAAAAACTGAAAAATCCAAAGATATATTGATGGAGTAGAGTCAATGTAATAAAAATACTAATGCTTACAAAATATAAATTTAATAAAAGTCCAGTCAAAACAATAAAAGCATTTTCTTTCTTGAAATGGGACAGATCTTAACATTTCCATGAAAGTTTGCAGGTCTCAAACTGTCCAAGGCAATCATGAGCAAGGACAATTAGAAGAGATTTCTGTTCTAGATACATGGGGTTTTTATTAAGCTAGAATAATAAAACAGAGTGGCGGGGCTCCTGGGTGGCTCAGTCGGTTGAGCGACTGCCTTCGGCTCAGGTCATGATCCTGGAGTCCTGCGATCGAGTCCCACATCGGGCTTCCTGCTCAGCGGGGAGTCTGCTTCTCCCTCTGACCCTCTTCCCTCTTGTGCTCTCTCTCTCATTCTCTCTCTCTCAAGTAAATAAATAAAATCTTTAAAAAAAAAAAACAGAGTGGTATTCATTCAGTGATAGAAAGTTTTCCAGGGGCGCCTGGGTGGCTCAGTCGTTAAGCGTCTGCCTTTGGCTTAGGTCATGATCTCAGGGTCCTGGGATCGAGTCCCGCATCGGGCTCCCTGCTCAGAGGGGAGTCTGCTTCTCCCTCTGCTCATCCCCCTGCTTGTGCTCGATTGCTCTCTCTCTCAAATAAATAAATAAAATCTTAAAGAAAAAAAAAAAAGAAAGTCTTCCAGAAAGGGTACCTTGGCCACATAGGAACTTCGGATATAAGAGAAATGAATTTATAAGTATTGAAGAAAGAATGTGCTATTTGATACTTGGTGTTCAGGGCTGAATTGTGTCCCTCCTCCAAATTCATATGTTGACGTCCCCTGGCACCTCGGGAAGTGGGGGAGTCCGCTTGTGTGAAGGGAGGTGTCGGTTCTTGGATTCCCTGTGAAAGATTAGCATGAGGATCCTTGCTCCAGTAAGCACAGCCAGGAGGAACGGAGCAGGCATCAGGCAGTTATTAAGGACGGTATACTCTTTTTCTTTTTATTAAAGATTTTATTTATTTATTTGACAGAGAAAGACACAGTGAGAGAGGGAACACAAGCAGGGGGGATAGGAGAGGGAGAAGCAGACTTCTCACAGAGCAGGGAGACAGATGCGGGGCTCGATCCCAGGACCCTGGGACCATGACCTGAGCCGAAGGCAGACACTTAATGACTGAGCCACCCCGGCGCCCCAGGACGGTACACTCTTGAGAAGGGAGAGCAGGCCCACCCAGAGGAGGCCACTGCCCTGGAGTCAGGGGGGCCTTTTTATGTTTTGTGTAGGTTGTGGGTCATAGCCAGGGCAGTCTCTGGGAGGGGGAGTTTTGGTTCTACAAGGTTCTTGCTGGAACTGTCAAGGCCATCCTTCCCCACAGGGGGGGCCAGGTGGGAGGGGCTGAAGCCACCCTTGCACATGTGTTATAATAAACCTAGGGGTCATCCTGGGGCAGCTGAAGAGGAGAGCACATGTTTCAGAACCGTGGCTCCTGGTCCGCCAGCCCAGGGGTGTTAGAAGCCACAAGGCCAAGATGTTGAAAACCACAAAGTCAGGATGCTGTGCCTTCAGGCTTCTAATGTGTAACCTAGGAAATTAGCTTCCATATGGAAACAAAATGAAATTAGATCATTACTTCACACTATATGCATACACACAACTCCAGAAAGATTAAAACTTAAATGTCAAAGGAAAAGGCTGGAACTATTAAATGGTAATACAAGGAAATATTTTACAATAACAAAATGGAGAAAGATTTTTTTTCTCTTTCAAGAGAAAGATTTCTTTATAAGACACATAAGGAAACCATAAAGGAAAACCTACATACTTTTTATAATGTCAAAACTAAAATCTGAGGGACCAACATTTTTATAAACAAAGTTCAAAGACAAGAAATAAATAAAAAAATTAAAACATGTTGCATATTGAGGATTAGTAAATAACATACATCAACTCCATGAATCTAGTCGAAAAAGAACCTGACAGAAAAATAAGCAAAGGATAATTGATGATCTACGAAATAAAGTCCCAATCATGTGGAAATGCATGTATTTCAGCAGTGATCACTGAAACACATTACCTGTATGTTCTGCATTTCAAATATCTCTTCAATTTTATTTTATTTTTTAAAAAAGATTTTATTGGGCGCCTGGGTGGCTCGGTTGGTTGGGCGACTGCCTTCGGCTCAGGTCATGATCCTGGAGTCCGGGGATCGAGTCCGGCATCGGGCCCCCTGCTCGGCGGGGAGTCTGCTTCTCCCTCGGACCCTCCCCCTCTCATGCTCTCTCTATTTCATTCTCTCTCTCAAATAAATAAATAAAATCTTTAAAAAAATAAAAAAGATTTTATTCATTTATTTGACAGAGACACAGCGAGAGCGGGAACACGAGCAGGGGGAGCGGGAGAGGGAGAAGCAGGCCTCCCGCGGAGCAGAAGCCCGATGCGGGGCTCGATCCCGGGACCCCGGGACCGTGCCCCGAGCCGGAGGCAGACGCCCGGCGCCCCGCACTTCAGTTTTAAAAACCTTGACCTTAGATATACCCGTCTCTTGTCAGTAAGTCCTCCCGACGTTCCAGCGTCAAGGAGCGCACTGGTTTTCTGGTTAATGCCTGTGTTTATTTACTGGCGCGAGCGAGAGCGAGCACACGGGCCGGGAGGGGGGCAGGGGGAGAGACAGATTCTCCGCCGCGCAGGGAGCCCAACGAGGGGCCCCGGGACCGTGCCCCGAGCCGGAGGCAGACGCCCGGCCGACTGAGCCACCGCGGCGCCCGGGAAGGCTCCTTTAAGTTTAAAACGTTCGTTTCAAACAGTGCAGGTGATGACGCCTTCCCTTCGACTCCCTTCGGGCAGGACCACCGCACAACCCAACCGCGCGAACTTCCCCTCCGGCCCGTGTGCTTGCGGAAGGCACTGCCAGCTCCGCTCCGTGGGTCCTGCCTCAGGGTAGTCGTAACTTTTGCAGGGTCATCATCAGGTGTTGTCTGAGCTTTTTCAAACCATACATTTGTCGATTTTGGTGTCTTTATGCTGAGTAGTCAGTAGAAGAATTCCTTCTTCTATTTCCTCTGCTAATTTTATATGTAAGAATTCTCTGATCACTTGAAAAAACTCCCCGGAAACGCAATGTTTGATGCTTTTTGGCGCGGGATCTCTGAAACTGTCTTCATCTTTACTCATGAAGTGGTTTTCTCCTTTCTCGGGTCAAATTTGACACATCCATTCCTGGAGAGTCATCTGTTTCACCAAGAATTTCTAATTTCTTAGCGTTCAGGGGATTCTCACTCGACTTCCTGCATGTCTGTGGTTATTCCCTCTTTATCACCCTGCCCTTCTGTCTCCTTGTAAGGGTAGTGACTTGTTTGTAACTCCCCCAGCACTTGAATTATGATCAGCTTTACTTTTTCCTGTTAATTCCTATCTACTTAACGTAAATGTACGCATACATTTTTTTATTTCCTCACTTGAATTCTTAAGCCAGTTGTCTTTTCCCCCCCCTTTTTCTAACGTACTGGTGGGTTTGAAATCCTGACCCTACACATCGCTCCCAGACGCGCGTTCACGCCGCTCGCTCCCGGGCGGGCGGTCGCTCTCGCGTCTGCAGGCGACCAGCGATCCCCAGACGCAGGGACGCCTACGTGCCGCGGTGCCTTCTGGGAAGTGTAGTTCAAAGGCGGCTTCCTGGAGTGACCCAAAAAAAAAAAAAAAAAAAGGAAGAGAAGCAAAAACAAAGGCGTCTTTCTCTCGCGCACGCGTACTCGCACTCACACGGCCCCTGACGCTTTCGGGTTGCGCCCCTTCTCTTTGTCCGTGGCCGCCAAGCAAGAGGCGAGTGTGGGCGTCTCCGCGCGCGCGCCCGCATCTCCGTGCGCGGCCCCCGGCTCCGCCGCAGCCCGGTCGGCAGCCCGCGGACCCACGAGCACCGCACGGAGGTCCGCCGGCCGGGGCGGCGTGCGGGCCAGGGGCGCATGCGGGCCAGCGGCGCATGCGGGCTGCGGGCGGGGCGGCGGCGGGGCTGGGGGCGCGGGGCGGGTCACGTGGCTCGCGGGCCTGCGCGTCCAACGACGGAGGTCTGGGGTCCGTGCTGGCGGTGGGGGCGGTTCGGGGGCGGGTTTCGTCCGCGGGCCGGCGTTTGGGACGAGTGCGGGGGTCGTGTGGGCGGCAGGCTCGGGGGCCGGTGGGCGCCGGCGTGTGGGCGGGCGGGGCTTCGCGGGCAGCGCGGCGGGGCGCGCGGTGAGGGGGGGGCGCGGGGTCCGCGCGCGGCTGCGGGGACGCCCCGGTTCCTGGATGCGGCCTTCGAGGGCGCCCCCTCGCCGGGCGTCCCTGGCTGTGCGCGGGCCGCGGGCCCCGGGCACGTGCGCCCCGGGGGCTGCGCAGGGAGGGTGTGGGGTCCCGCCGCCAGGGCGACTTCCCTGCAGGGCCGCCTGTCCCCCTCCAGTCTGGCTTCACCCAGCCCCGTTCTGCCTCTGTCAGTAGAGCTGCTGTTGCTTCTTTAAGGGATTTTATTTATTCATTTGAGACGCAGAGATACAGAGAGAAGAGAAAGCGGGAGCAGGGAGAGAGGCAGAGGGAGAGGGGGAAGCAGTGGGGCTCGCTCCCAGGACCTTGCGGTCGTGACCTGAGCCCAAGGCAGACGCTTAACCATCGGAGCCACCCAGGCGCCCCACTAGAGCTGTTTTTAAAGGCTTCGCTACTAAAAACAAAAACCCCAAAGCCAGAAACAAACCCCAGATAGGTTTTTGGTAGCAGCTGGTTGCTACGGCCTGAAGTTCTCTCTGACTGTGATCCACCTCTGCCACTTTGGACCCTCCATTCTACGATTTCGGGGTCTCACGTTTATCGCCTGAAAATGAGGGAGTGCAAAGAAATGACCTTTTTCTTTTTTTCTTTCCTAGTTCTAATGTTTTTTGCTGTCATTAACACATACTTTTTTTTTTTTTTTAATATTTGTTTATTTGAGAGAGAGAGAGAAAACAAGCCAGAGAGGGGCAGAGAAGCAGGCTCCCAAGGAGCAGGGAGCCCGATGCGGGACTCGATCCCAGGACCCTGGGAGCATGACCTGAGCCTAAGGCAGATGCTTAAGGACTGAGCCACCCAGGCGCCCCTGTTTTGTTTGTTTTTAAGTAGCCTCTACACCCAGCGTGGAGCCCAATGCGGGGTTTGAATTCACGACCCTGAGATCCAGACCTGAGCCGAGATGGAGAGTCGGGCACTTAACTGGCTGAGCCATCCAGATGCCCTTCTTTCTTTTGTTTTTATCCTTATTTTGCCCTGGTGGCATTATTTCTGGATAGGGGACTGGATGGCACCAGTACTGGAATGTAAACAGAAATTCTGGAGGCCTTTGCCCCCCCCACCCCGCACTTTTGTTGAGGGGCTGTGACTGCAGGTCTTTGGGGACACTGGGACCAGTGGCCTGGATCTGCCACTCCCTAGGTGTGTCATCGATGTTGGGCAAGTTGCCGAACCTCTGTGCCTTACCACTTTTTGGAATGGGTGCTGGATGCATTAAAAAAAAATGTGTAAAACATCTGTCACAGTAAGTAAGTAAATGTTATTTTTTATTATTCTCTACGTTTCCCCTGGAATTCCTTCAGAACTTGATGCTAAGTGGAACTACACGATGATGCTGATGGTTGCCCCTTCCTTCTGAAGACAAATGTGAGAGCTGTCGCAGGGAAAGCTGCGTGTTATGCAGGAAGCTGCCAAGGTACACAAAAATAGTCCAGTTAAAGTGGGCCAGTTGTACAGAGAAGGGCTTAGGCTTCCATTTGCTGAGAGGACACGTGGGAGCCGTATAAAAGAGTTCAGGAGAAAACTTCTCAAAACTTCCAACTTTCAAAAACACGTTTAAATTAGAGTAAGGTTGAGTCTGCGTTTTTCTGAATAACAAATATTGGAAATAATACTACCACGCTGATGGCTTGTCACACTTGTTCACCTGAAATTCTCAATTCTGTGTATTTTCTATAGTAAGTCTACATCATTTTTTTTTTCTTTGAGAGGGAGTTGGGGAGGGACAGAGGGAGAAGGGGGGAGAGAGTCTCAAGCAGACTCCCCGCTGAGCATGCCGAACTCAGGGCTTGATCCTAGGACCCCAAGATCATGACCTGAGCTGAAATTGCGAGCTGGATGCTTAACTGACTGAGCCCCCACAGGCACCTCTTAGGTCCACATCATTTGACATGACATGATGAGTTTTCTACTTTTGATGAGTTTTCATTGAAACCCAAGTAATCTTCACTGAGTAGTCTTTGACAACAATTACAAAGGAAATTTTAAAATCACACTGTGAATTTGGCCGTCTGCTTAAGGAAATGGCTTGTGTGATAAACACAGTTTTATTTGTCACAATGCCAGAGTTTTTTTTTTTAAGATTTTATTTATTCATGAGAGACAGAGAGAGAGAAGCAGAGGGAGAAGCAGGCTCCCCACTGAGCAGGGAGCCCGATGTGGGACTCGATCCTAGGACCCTGGGATCATGACCTGAGCCCAAGGCAGACGCTTAACCATCTGAGCCACCCAGGCGCCCCCAATGCCAGGATTTTTATTATGTGAAATGAAGTTAAAGCATAATGCAAAGCAAATGACATTTGTTGTAGGTATATTTTCCTGGTGTTTGTGTGGAGCGGGGGAGTGGTTATGCGGTTATAACTGACTTTTTTTTTTAACCATGCAGAGGTTTTTAAATTTTTTAATGGTCAAATTTATTGACTTTTAATTATGGTTTTTGTCTTTGTATTATGTATAGGCAAATTTTCCCCCAAATTACATAAATAATCATCTGTGTTTTTTTTTTATTAAAAAATTTTTTTTAAGATTTTATTTATTTATTTATTTGACAGAGAGAGACACAGCGAGAGAAGGAACACAAGCAGGGGGAGTGGGGGAGGGAGAACCAGGCTTCCTGTTGAGCAGGGAGCCCGATGTGGGGCTCGATCCCAGGACCCTGGGATCATGACCTGAGCCGAAGGCAGACGCTTAACAGCTGAGCCACCCAGCGCCCCTTTTATTTTTTATTAACATATAACGTATTATTTGTTTCAGGGGTACAGTTCTGTGATTCAGTAGTCTTAGTACACAGCCCTCACCAGAGCACATACCCTCCCCAATGTCCATCACTCAGCCACCCCATCCCTCCCACCCCCCTCCACTCCAGCAACCCTCCGTTTGTTTCCTGAGATTAAGAGTCTCTTATGGTTTATCTCCCTCTCTGGTTTTGTCTTGTATCATTTTTCCTCTCTTCCCCAATGATCTGCCTTGTTTCTCAAATTCCACATATCAGTGAGATCATATGATAATTATCTTTCTCTGATTGACTTATTTTGCTTAGCATAATACCCTCTAGTTCCATCCACGTTGTTGAAAGTGGCAAAATTTCATTTTTTGATGGCTGCATAATACTCAATTGTATATATACACCACATCTTTATCCATTCATCTGTTGATGGACATCTGGGCTCTTTTCCATAGTTTGGCTATTGTGGACATTGCTGCTATAAACATTGGGGTGCATCAACTGTGTTTTCTTAAGGCATCGTTGTGGTTTAAATTAAAATCCATATGGAAGTAGTTTGTTTTAATGTGTGAGATACAAAACTAGCTTTTTTTCTTCTAAATATTAATCATTTCTGTTCATTAAACAATCTCTGCCCCTTTCCCCGCTCATGTGCATGTTCTATCTTTCTCAAATAAATAAAATCTTAAAAAAAAAGCCACATTTATGGCCTGCTAAATTCTTTTTTTTTTTTTTAAGATTTTATTTATTTATTTGACAGAGAATGACAGAGCGAGAGAGGGGGAACACAGCAGGGGGAGTGGGAGAGGGAGAAGCAGGCTCCCTGCTCTGCCTGATGTGGGGCTCGATCCCAGGATCCTGGGATCATGACCCAAGCCAAAGGCAGATGCTTTAATGACTGAGCCACCCGGGTGCCCCTGGTCTGCTAAATTCTTACATATTTGAACTGTTACGCTTCATTCATCTGAATGTCTTATGGAGACAGTGTCAAATATTTTTAATTATTTGATTTTATAATACATGTTAATATTACATGGACCTGTTCACATTCATTATTCTGTAATTTTTTAAAAGATTTATTTATTGGGCGCCTGGGTGGCTCAGTTGGTTAAGCGACTGCCTTCGGCTCGGGTCATGATCCTGGAGTCCCGGGATCGAGTCCCACATCGGGCTCCCTGCTCAGCGGGGAGTCTGCTTCTCCCTCTGACCCTCCCCCCTCTCATGTGCTCTCTATCTCTCACTCTCTGTCTCAAATAAATAAAATCTTTAAAAAAAAAAAGATTTATTTATTTGAGAGAGAGGGTGTGTGCGTGTTGGGGGAGGGGAAGAGGGAGAGAATCTTCGAGCAGACTCCCCACCAAGTGCGGAGTGGAGCCTGACTCGGGGCGCAATCTCACTACCTTGAGATCACAACCCAAGCCAAAATCAAGAGTCATTCGCTTAACCAACTGAGCCACCCAGGTGCCCCAATTATTTTGTATTTCTAAAAGTGTCCAAGGTATTCCTGAACGTTTTTTCTTCCAGATGAACTTTAGAATTGCTTGGATTTTTTTTTTTTTTTAAGATTTTATTTATTTATTTGCCAGAGAGAGAGTGAGAGTACGAGCAAGGGGAGTGGGAGAGGGGGAAGCAGACTCTCGGCCGAGCAGGGAGCCCGATGCATGACTCAGTCCCAGGACTCTGGGATCATGACCTGAGCCAAAGGCAGGTGCTTCACTGACAGAGCCACCCAGCCGTCCCTAGAATTGCTTATTAAAGAAAAACTTTTTGAGATTATGATTGGACTCGACTAAAGATAGAAATCACTTGGGGCTGATCAGGTCATGGTCCTGGAGTCCCGGGATCGAGTCCCGCATCAGGCTCCCTGCTCAGCAGGGAGTCTGCTTCTCCCTCTGACCCTTCCCCCCTCTCATGTGCTCGCTCTCTCTCATTCTCTCTCTTAAATAAATAAATAAAATCTTAAAAAAAAAAATCATTTGGGGCTAAATTACTTCACTGTGAAGTAATTTATCCCAGAGCAAGACCAGATTGTACATGTATGAAGCCTCTCTTTATAGTCTCCATTGGTGGTTTTAGTTTCTTTCATATGGATCTTACATGTTTTTGTCCAAGTATATTCCTACATAGTTTGTTTTTTCTTTTAGAGTAGATTTTATTTTCTACTTTTTTATTGTTTTATATGAGAAGGCTGCGGCTATTTTAGAACTATGTTTATTGACCTGGAAAGATGGTCTTTACATAGTAGGGGGAAAAAATAACAAAAACGTTATTTATTTATTTATTTATTTATTTATTTATTTAAGGTTTTATTTATTTGTTTGACAGAGAGAGAGACAGCGAGAGAGGGAACACGGGGAGCGGCAGAGGGAGAGGGAGAAGCAGGCTTCCCGCTGAGCGTGGAGCTGCGATCCCAGGACACTGGGATCAACACCTGAGCCGAAGGCAGATGTTTAGCAACTGAGCCACCCAGGCGTCCCCAAAAATGGTTTTTAAATGTGACCACATACTTACATTTTTGTTAAAAAATATCCAGTTTCCCCATCTCTTAAGAAGGGTTGTCTGTGGTGTGGTAATAGAGGTACTAGTTGTTTCTTATTTAGCTTGTATACATTTCTGAATTTTGCCATCATGTTCCACTGCTGCAGTAATAAGTATAGCTAATACTTGGGTAACGCTCATACGCCCCCACTGTTCTAAGATGCAGGTATTTTCATTATGTAAAAGCATCATTTCTTGTGTAACTGGGAGAAACCTCCCTATGTGTTTCTGAGCTGGTGCTGAAGCTTGAGTTGCAGAAAGGCATGAAAGGGAAGAGCTTTTTTTTTTTTCCCCACTTTCCTGAACTTTATTAAAGAAAAAGCAATGATGGTAAATCTCGAGAACATAGTCAATTTTCTAGGATTCTCCCCTTGAAAATGTGACACCTGATTTCCAAACACATGCCAGAGCGTACATGGTTCCCAATGGTACTAAGTAGGTGAGAAGCTGAAATCCTAAAATGTTCATCTGCTGACTTTCCCCAGTCTGTGGTCTGTCTTTGGGTCAGCAGTAATTGCCTGAACAGCTACTGTGGCTTCATGAATTTTTTCCGTGGCTCTCTGAGCTCTTCTATATGCAGCGATCGCAGAATTTGAGCAGCTTCATTAAGAACTGCATCTCCTGTGTCAAAACCAAGAATATGTTTGTCTAAAGCAACAGGCAAGCCCTCTTTCGTTTGATTTGCTTTAGCAACTGCATCCTGGGTCAGGCGCTCCTGGAGCAAAATGCGAATTGCCTTAAGCATTACCAGGTAATCATCATGACGCTGAATCTGAAGAAGGTTAGCCAAAGCCATTACACCAGCTTTAAAATCAGGATTATTTACATCTAAGTTGATCAATGGCTCTGCATTTTTAGCTGCATTATCAGCATTTTTTGTATTATCCAGTACCAAGTCCTTGTATTTTTCAGCATTATCTCCATATTCAAGTCTAACAGCTAAACCAAGAAGCCAGTCAATTGCTTCTTGTTGGTCTTGAATCTTGAAAGGACAATTAACATCTTTGAGATACTTTTCAAAGAACTTGGGCCAGTCACTGCTGTGGATGGTTCTTAAATTACCTCTGTCTTCAATCTTGTAGTGTCTGATTTTCTGGTCTTAAGGCCAAACAATAAAGTTTCTAAATTGTTTCATCTTTGCAGTTGAAGCCAGCCGGGTTGTGGTAGTCGAGGGATGTCAGCTTGCATTGGAACATGGTCCCCGCATCTCGCTCTGGTCCCCCGGGCTTCGGCTGGGAGAGCAAGAGCTTGTTTTTTAAGTGTTGTTTTTTTATTATGATTTGGGGGCAGCAGGCCGTTCATCATTTGTGTTTCTGTGGAAATATGGTGACTGAAAGTGTGCACAGAGATAAAAGCTAATTTGAGGATGTATGATGGGTGTCTGCGTAAATACACCCACGTGACATGATTTTAGTAGTAAGTGCCTTGAACATAGCAAGAAAGAGAAACAGTATTCCAATTCTGCTACTTAACAGCTATGCAGTCACTTTAAAGATCCCTGCTTGCTTTTGGTAAGGTGGAGATTCTGTTAAATGCCTCCTCGGGTTGTCTGTGAATGTCATATTATAAAGTGCTTAGTATTTTCCCTTACATGAAGAAAGCATTCACATTCCTTTTATTATTTCATTTATTCCTCAGAATGCCACTGTTAAGTGGACCCAAAGGTCCACTTTACCTCACAATTTTAGCAAGTAAAAAAATGAAGCTTAAAAGCCAAGAAAGGAGCATGATTTGGCATATGGAGTGCCATTATGCAATGATTAAAGCATAATCTTCCAGAAATACATAACCTCCTTCTGTCGAACAACATAGCTTTAAACATATAATCCAAATATCAACAGGATTACAAGGTAAAATTTACCAAACTGTAATCTTATTGGGAGATTTTAACATACTTCCTTCAAAAGTTGATAGAGTTGAGGGGGTGTAGACCCCTTTCGTAGGGAGCTAAGGCTCATACAGATAAAGATTGTCTGGTTTTGCCCAAAGCCATGTAGCCAGTTAAGGGAAGAGTTGATTGAAACTCAAGTCTTTTTTAATGCAAATCACTTAAGCTCTCCAAATTCCATCTGCCTAAAATAGAGTTGTACTTCGTTGCACCTGTGAAAGTGATTTATCCTGTAGTGTCCAGAGTGAGCAGTGAGTGGATATCAGAAGTACTTTATTTCTGCTATCTCTTGCCAAGTCACAGACTGCTCTTCTTTTGCACTATATGCTGTTCCTATTCCTGGCTAGCCCTATTTCAGTTACATAGAAATACAGATGACCGTGAATGCCTGATTCCTAGCAAGAGGAGAAAAGATTTTAGGTGCAGCAAGAATATACCCATCAAAGTGCATTTGTTCCTAAGTCCACGAATCCTGGTTACCCACAGATAAGCCTGCTCATGTGATGTAAGGAAGGAGCTCCTGGAGCCAGGAACCTGCTCCCGGTGTGAGAGACCCAGCCACGGCCTCCTGGCGGAGCTCCGGGACAAAAGCAGAAGAGACTTGGGGTGGAGCAGAGCTCAGAGGTGCTACTCATCTTGCAACAGAAAATGACCATGTTACAGGTGAGGTGATTGCTTCTTTATTTTCCAGGGGATTAGAAGAGGTGTGTACGTCTTCTAGTGAAAAAAGTATAAGTAGTTAAGAAATCAGGGGAAAATAGCCTCAGCATAGAAGACCCGGGTTGGGACAAAACGGGAGCAGTTAGAACGGTGGGGTCGGGGCGCCGGCTCCCTGCACTGTGGAAAATCCATGTGTAACTTTCAGCTCCCCCAGAACTTAACTCCTCACAGCCTACTGTTGACCAGAAGCCTTACCGGTAACAGGTGATAGCATGTATTTTCTATGTGTATTATATGCTGTGTTTTATGATAAACCTAGGGAAAAGAAAATGTTATTAAAGTCATAAGAGAAAATACATTTATAGTACTATAACAGTATTTATTGAAAACTCCACACATAAGTGGACCTGCACAGTTCACACCCGTGATGTTCAAGGTCCAACTTTTTAATTTTTTTTTTAAAGATTTTATTTAATTTATTTGAGAGAGAGCACAAGCAGGGGGAGCGGCAGGCAGAGGGAGAGAGAGAAGCAGGCTCCACACTGAGCAGGGAGCTCGCTATGGGGCTCCATCCCAGGACCCTGGGATCGTGACCTGAGCCAAAAGCAACACTTACTCGACTGAGCCACCCAGGCACGCCTTCAAGGGTCAACTTCATAGGACCTTGAGAAGGTCTTAAGATTTTAACTGCTTTTGTTTTTGTTTTGTTAGAGAGAGAGTGTGAGCAGGGTGGGGGGTGGGAGGGCAGAGGGAGAGGGAAAGGAGGGAATCTTAAATAGATTCCACACCCAGCACAGAGCTCCATGGGCTCGATCCCACAATCCTGAGATCATGACCTCAGCTGAAATCAAGTCAGATGCTTCAACTGAGCCACCCAGGCGCCCCTGAATTTTTGTAAGCCATAGTGTCCTACATAATTAATGAATTTGAGCTACAAACTTGGTTTTCAAATTTTTAGCAGTTACAATAAAGAAATAAGAATGTTTCTATGAGTTGCATTATCCAAAGGTAAAAGTAAATTAGTTCTTCATAGAAAGTAGATATTTCTTGGTCATTCTTTGATGAAGTTTTTGAATAAATGATATAGTGTGGGTACTGCCCTCAGAGAAATGTAAATCCCTGGGTCTTACAGTCATTTTTCATAGTTTTCCACAGAGTGTGACCCAAGGGGAAAATACCAAAGTACTTAGTAATCCTAATTGCATATTTATGTACCTCTTTAATTGTGAGGCAGTATTCACATATGGAAAAGTACATGAAATGTAAAGGTACAGCTTAATGACTTATTATTATCAACTGCATACCCGTGAGGCCGCCATTCAGGTCAAGAAGTAGAACATTCCCAGCCCAAATGAGGCCCTTCGCGTGCCAATCACAACCTCTCCCTCCTGACAGAGAACCGGGACCCCGACTTTTGTAACCATTTCTGTGCTTCTCTTTCTAGTTTTACTCCTAAGTGTTCATCCTTAAACACTGCAGTTTGGTGTCATCTGCTATAGTATATAGTGATTTGTGTTTTGTTTCTTTCACTTAACATTTTGTTTATGAGATTCATTGCAAGTACAACCTTCTGTCCAGTGAAGGCAGCTTCTTAATATCACCGAATTCAGTCAGTGTTCAAAATTCCAGTTGTCTCCTGAAACCCCAAATCGTTTGAAGTTTGGGTCAGAATCTGGGTACAGTTCATACAGTGTAATTGGTTGATCTGGGTCTCTTAAGTCCCTCTTAACCTATTGGCTCTTTTTTCCTAGCCCCATTAAAAAAAAAAGATTTTATTTATTTGAGAGAGAGAGAGAGAGATAGCAAGAGAGAGCACTGAGCTGGGAGGAGAGGGAGAAGCAGGCTCCCCGCGGAGCAGGGAGCCCGACGTGGGGCTTGATCCCAGGACCCTGGGATCATGACCTGAGCGAAGGCAGAGGCTTAACAACTGAGCCACCCAGGCGCCCCGAGGCCAGGTGATTTATTCTCTGGCTTTCCCACTGTCTGGGTTTTGCTAGTGTTGCTGGTGTGCTCTGTGTTTCCTGCAGTGCATAGATTTGGAACTGTGCTGTCCAGTGCAGAAGCCGCCAGCCACATCAACTGTTTAAAATGATTAAATCTAGCCCCAAGTCACACTGGCCTCATTTCAGGTGCTCAGAAGCCACAAATTAGCACAGATAAAGAATATCTCCATCTTCACAGATCTGCTCTGGAGACTTGATCAGATTCAAGTGTGACTTTTTTTTGGCAAGAGTATTTCAGAGGTTTTGGTACATGGTCTTTCAGGAGGCACCTTCCATCTGCTTGTCCCTTTGTCATGCCAGCAACTTTATATGGTTGTTGCCTTGATGGATTATTTCATTAGGGGCTACAAAGTGATACCCTGCTTCTACCTGCTCTTTGTTTCATTTTCCCCCCACTTCTTTGTTAATTAATTAATTTTTAAGTATTTTTTTAAGATTTTATTTATTTGAGAGGGAGGGAGGGAGAGAGCACGAGCAGGGGGAGGGGCAGAGGCAGAAGCAGGCTCCTTACTGGGCAGGGATGTGGGGCTCGATCCCAGGACCCAGGACCATGACCCAGGCCGAAGGCAGACGCTGCACTGGCTGAGCCCCCGCCCCGCCCCCTTGCCGTATCATACTGAATTTTGTTATCAAGGTTATGCTTGTATCAAAAAGTTTAGGGTTGTGTTCTTGCTTCCATATTCCGTAGTTGTTTAGTAAAATAGGAATTATTTCTGCATTAAATGTCTACAAAATTAACTAGGAAAGCTGTTTTTTTGTGAGAAGACTTTTAAGTTAGAGATTCTATACTGTGGCTTCGCTCATTTTTAAGAGACGACCAGCTGATTAGTTTTGGTGCAGTATTCAAGAAGAATATCCATAGTTAACTAATTATCATTGTTTGTAGTATTTTAAAATTTTTCTTCGTATGCAGTCCTACCATCTGTGGCAGGTTTATCTCTTCCTTCCAATATTTGTACTTTTTCCTTGTATTTATTGTACTGGCCAGGACCTCCAGGAGACCTGTTGCCCCCTCCTCTCAGCCTGCCTGTTTCTGTCTGGTGAATTCCAGTGCTCGTTTATGACAGTGTCTGCCCTTAGCACCGACTCTGCAAGTTAAGGACACAGCCCCCAACAAGACCGCCCTCTCTTCCATTGCCAGATGTGAGTTCTGGGGTTCCCAGGCCACCTGCATTTCTGACCAACTGGCTACAAATTTGGGGGCTTCCCATGATCCCTTCAGGTTTGCTGGAACAACTCACAGAACTTACAGAAGTGCTGTACATACAATTACAATTTGAGCGTAAATGACACAACTTGGAAGCAGCCAAGTGAACAGACACAGAATGAGGTCTGGGGGGTTGCGGAGGTGGGCCTTCTGCGCCCTGTCCCCACGGAACCAGGACGTATCCCCCTTGTGGCACATATCTTTGTGCTTCCCAACCAGGAAGCTAACTTAAGGTTCTAACGTCCAGTTTTGTTTTTTTGTTTGTTTACATTTTATTTATTTATTCGCGAGCTGGAACGGGGCTGGGGAGGGGCAGAGGCAGAGGAAGAAGCAGGCTCCCTGCTGACAGGGGGCCTGACGTGGGACTCGATCCCAGGACCCTGGGATCATGACCTGAGCCGAAGACAGACCCTTAACCCACTGAGCCACCCAGGCGCCCCTATACAGTTTTTATTGGGGATTCATTCTGTAGGTGTGATTTATTGACTCACTGGCCGTATGAGTGAACTCAGTCTCCAGCCCCCCTCCCCTTCCTTGACGTTGGACTCATATCATCCGACTCAGAACACCAACCCTCTGATCAGATGGTTGATCTTGACGAGCCGGTGCCCATCTAGAGGACCATCTAGGAGCCCACTAGGAGTCACCTTTTTTTGTGAGAAGCATAAACTCCAGATGAGCCCATCATGAACTACGAAAACACTTAATGTCACTGGGGAAATAACAAGACTTTAACATTTTTAAGAGAAAGTGAGAGAGAGTGTGTGCATGTGTCCTCGGCAGGGGGAGGGGCGGAGGGAGAGAGAATCCTAAGCAGGCTCCACACTTAGTGAGGAACCTGACATGGGGCTTGCTTGACCTCATGACCCTGAGATCGTGTCCTGAGCCGAAAGCAAGAGTCGGAGGCTTTTAACCAACTGAGCCACTCCGCTGCCCTCAAATAACAAGGCTTTAAAAGCTCTGTCCCAGGAACCTGAGACAAAGACTGGACAAATTATTATACAGTGGGTTGCCATTAGGTACCTGTGCTGTTTAATTAGTTAAACATAAGTAAAATTAAACGGGGAACCCTCTTACAGTCTTGGTAGGAATGCAAACTGGTGCAGCCACCCTGGAGAACAGTATGGACGTTCCTCAAATAGTTAAAAATAGAACTATCTTATGATTCAGTAATTGCACTACTAGATATTTATCCAAAGGATACAAACAGGGGCGCCTGGGTGGCTCAGTTATTAAGCGTCTGCCTTCGGCTCAGGTCACGATCCCAGGGTCCTGGGATTGAGCCCCACATCGGGCTCCCTGCTCCGCGGGAAGCCTGCTTCTCCCTCTCCCACTCCCCCTGCTTGTGTTCCCGCTCTCACTGTGTCTCTCGCTGTCAAATAAATAAATAAATAATTAAAAAACAACAACAACAAAAAAGGGTACAAACATAGTGATTCGAAGGGGCACCTGCACCCTAATGTTTATAGCAGCAATGTCCACAATAGACAGACTATGGAAATAGGGAAATAGCCCGTGTCCATAGACTGATGAATGGATAAAGATGTGGTGTGTGTACACACACACACACACACACACACACACAGACACACACACAGACACGCACAGACACACACACACAGACACACACGCACACACAGATGCACACACGCACACACACAGACACACAGATGCACACAGACACACACATACGCACACACAGACAGACACGCACAGACGCACACACACAGACACACACACACAGACACACACGCACACACAGATGCACACACGCACACACAGACGCACACACACACAGACGCACACACGCACTGGAATATTGCTCAGCCATCAAAAATGAGATCTTGCCATTTGCAACCACGTGGATGGAACTAGGTGGTATTATGCTATAAGCGAGATAAGTCAGAGGAAGACAATTACATGGTGGCGCTCGCATGGAATTTAAGAAACGAAACAGATGAACATAGGGGAAGGGAAGGAAAAATGAGATAAAAACAGGGAGGCAAACCGTAAGACTCTTTTTAATTAATTATTTTTTTTTAAATTTTTTTGAAGATTTATTTGACAGAGAGCACAAGCAGGGGGAGAAGCAGGCTCCCCGCGGAGCAGGGAGCCCGATGCGGGGCTCGACCCCAGGACCCTGGGACCGTGACCTGAGCCGGAGGCCACGCCCAACGACTGAGCCCCCCAGGCGCCCCCATAAGAGACCCTGAGCTCTAGGGAACAAACGGTGGGTGGGCGGGCTAATACAATTGTGTCCTTGCTGCATCGTCTGGTAAAATTACACTTAACCATGGGCATGAAGGAGGGCACTTGATATAATGAGTGCCAGGCGTTACATGTAACCGATGAATCACTAAATTCTGTTCCTGAAACTAATAATACAGTATATGCTAACTGAATTTAAATCAAAAATAAAATCCTTTCCTAGTCAGCTTTGAAGTATTCAGTAGATGTTGTGGCTAATGGCTACCTTGTTGGATGGTGCAGATACAGAACATATAAGTCATCACAAAAAATTCTGTTGGACAGTGTCCTTCTTGTCCTCTGAGAGCGAGCATTCACAATTTCATCTTTAAGTATGATGTAGCTGTAGATGTTTGTAGGTTATGATTACGAGTTCTGTTACTAGTTTGTTGACAGTATTTTACAATGAAGACATTTTCATCATATGCCTTTTCCACATCTGTTGAAATAGTGGTTTTTCTCCCTTATTCTGTTAATATGATTTATTGATTTCTGAATGCTAACCCTATCTTGCACTGCAGGTCACATTATGCTGTTTTTATACATGGCTTGATTCAATTTGCTAATTTTTTTTTTTAAAGATTTTATTTATTTGACAGAGAGAGACACAGTGAGAGAGGGAACACAAGCAGGGGGAGTGGGGAGAGGGAGAAGCAGGCCTCCCGCAGAGCAGGGAACCTGATGTGGGGCTCAATCCCAGGACCCTGGGATCATGACCTGAGCCGAAGGCAGACGCTTAATGACTGAGCCACCCAGGCGCCCCTAATTTGCTAATTTTTTGTTAGGAATTTTGATTCTGTTAGAGTTATTTGCCTGTGATGTTCATTTATTATGTTTTTGTTTGGTTTGGTCTGCTGGCCTTATACGGCGAGTCGAGAAGTTTGCACTCAGGAGGAATTTCTGTGAGGTTATTTTATTTATTCCTTAAATGATTGGAAGAATTTACCTCTGAAGCCACCTGGACTTGGAGTTTTCTTTGAAGGAAGGTTTTAAATTGTGGGGGTCAATGTCTTTAACATTTACAGAATTAATTCAGACTTTTATCTTGTGTCATTTTCGAGTGCATTTGTTCGAATATTTATTTTACCTAAGTTGTCAAATACATTGGTATATCTTTATTACTTTCATGTTATCCTTTTTAACAGCTTTTCTCAACTGTGACTTCAGTAGGGTCTACCCAGTTTACGTGTGTAAGTCAGTGATTTTTTCTGGTAATTTTATGTTGTGTTACTGTCATTCCAGCTTTAGAAGGTCTGGTTCATCCCAAGGGGACCTGGTGATTTTGCAGTCAGTCCCTGTTTCCACCCGCAGCGGAGGCAACCACTGGTTTCCTTACTCTCATTTCACATCAGTGGGTTTGTATAACGTGTGTCCTTCTGTGTCTGGCTTCTCTCATCAGTGTAGGGTTTTGAAGTCCATCCATATTTTGGCACATGTCAGAAATTCATTGTTTTTACTAGTGTTCCATTCTGTGGGTGTTCCCTGTCTGTTTACTCGTTCACCACTTGCTGGGCATCTGGATTACTCACATCCCGGTGGTTGTAAGTCCTCTCGTGGGGCAATCGTGTACATGGTTCATATGAACGTAGGTTTTCCTTTCTCTTGGGAACATGCCTGAGCGTGTCCTTGCTGCATTGTCTGGTAAAATTATACTTAACCTTTTTAAGAAACTGCCACAGTCCTGTAGTGTCAGAACCATGTTATATCAGTTGTTCAGTTCCAGTTTCTCCACATCTTTGCCAACACTTGTTATCGTCTGTCTTGTTGATTATCAGCATCATGCTGGTGAGTGTCAAGTGGTTTCTCATTGTGGTCTTAATTTGTTTTTCCTTAATAACTAGTGATGTTGGTCACTGTTTCATTGCTTCTTATTAGCTATTCCTAAGTCTTCTTTGACAGAATGTATTAAAATAGTCTACCAATTTTTATTTTTATTTAAAAAATTTTTTAAAGTAGGCTCCGCGCCCAACGTGGAGCTTGAACGCTTGACCCTGAGATCAAGCATCATCTGCTCCACTGTCTGAGCCAGTCAGGCATGTGCTGCCTACTTTTTAACTGTTTGTTTTTTAGAAGAGGTTTTCCTTTAAGTTCTGAGTCTTTTTTTTGTTTTTTGTTTTTTGGTTTTTTTTTTATTAGAAATAGGATTTGCAAATTTTTCCTGTCTGTGGCTTACCATTTCATTTTTCAGTTGTGTGGTTTGAAGTACAACAGTGTTAAATTTTGTGTTGCTCCTTGGAAAGGGATGTGGAAACCACCACTGTCTGGGCCCTCTCCTCTTGTAGCCGGGTGGGCCTACTGAAGACTCCAGCGGGAGATGCATAAACATACCTCAAAGAACGCAAGGGAAGATGACCATGTGTCATATTTGCAGGGATTCTTAACTCTTGTCCCCCTGAGTTACCTGCTGGTGCTCTTTGCATTGGTTAACCCTTTCACAGCAGGTCTCTTACCCTGAAGGCTCTTGCGTTTTTTTCATAAGAGAAAATGTTCTTATTTCACAGTTATTCCTGATGAATATTTAAGTTGGCTACAAAATCCTTTCAGCACTTTTAAAATGTCCTACTTTCTTCTGGCCTGTATGCTTCTGAATAAGAAATTTGCAATCATTTGAACTGCTTTCCCTGTAAGTGATGTGACTTCTTTCTTTGTCTGTATTCTGTCTCAGTTTGATCGTGGCATGTTTGGTTGTGGCTTTCTGCATGTTTATCCAGTGGGAGGTTCACTGAGTTTCCTGAATCTGCCAACTTAACGCCTTTTGCCACGTTTGGGGAGTGTGTAGCTGTCATTTGTTTTGTCCGCCACATTCCTGCTTTTCTCTTCCTGGGACTTCCGGGACATACATTTGGTGTTGTCTGGCAGTGTCCTGAGCCCTGAGTGTCTGAAGTGCATTTTTAAGTCTTTTCTTCTCTCATTTGCTCAAAATGGGTCTTCAGGTTCGCTGGCTCTTAAAGTGTATGATGTGCTGTTTAGGTCAGACTTTGTATTTTCTGATGGTATTCTGGATTTTTTAGAGTGCATGTTTTCTGGTCCTCTCAGGAGGCTTTGGGACAGAAATCCATCATAACCTAAAATCCACAACCCTTTCTGAGACCTAGATTTGGTTATGTCACACCCATTCCATGAAATCATGGCTAGCTGTTGGCAACAAAAAAGTGTCTAGCTCGGGCGCCTGGTGGCTCAGTTGGTTGGACATCTGACTCTTGATTTCGGCTCAGGTCCTGATCTCAGGGTTGTGAGGTTGAGCCTTGTATCAGGCTCTGTGCTCAATGGGGAGTCGGCTTCAGATTCTCTCTCCCTCTGCCCATCCCCCCCCCAAGCTCGCTTGCTCTCAAATAAATCTTTAATTAAAAAAAGAAAAAGTGTCTAGTTCGTTTAACTACAGTCGGCCCCGCCTCCCATGTGGCCTTTAATCACTACCTTGCACCCTGTGATCTTGTCTAACTAAACTGTTTGCACCTCCTGAACTCTAGCAGTTTTGGGGTCTCATTGGAGCTATTGGCTCCCAGAATGTCTTTGCATCACCATTTTTGTGGAAAGCACTGCTAATTTCTTAAAACCCATCTCAAGCTTTACCTCTTGCAAAGAGCCTAAGCTGATGCTCAAATTGATCGCTTTTTTTTTTTTAAGATTTTATTTATTTAACAGAGACACAGCGAGAGAGGGAACACAAGCAGGGGGAGTGGGAGAGGGAGAAGCAGACTCCCCACTGAGCAGGGAACCCGACACGGGGCTCCATCCCAGGACCCTGGAACCATGACCTGAGCGGAAGGCAGACGCTCAACGACTGAGCCACCCAGGCGCCCCAAATTGATCGCTTTGACCCACATTGTGCCCTCCCTTCATTTTTGCCTCTGCTATTATAATAGTTTATTTTATGAATAGGTGTGTATGTTTGCAGCCCTCTGCAGGGCTGTGCAGCTTTTTAGGGTGTTGTTTTGCTATATTTCTTTTGGTACCACTTTTCTGGTGCCAGAGTTGAGGTTCAGTACATATTTTGTTGGTGGCTCAGAAGATTTAATTGCCAATTCCAGTTGTCAGGTATTGTATGAATGGAGGGATGGAAGAGTGCATCGTGGCACTTTGTCCCAGAGACGTAATGCGGAGGAGACCGTCGTCATTCCCCGTAACTTGGTGTGACGAGAACGGTGTGCTCAGGCTCCAGTCCCCTCCCGTATCACATAGTGACCGTTGCTTCAGATTCACCGGCCTGTGCTCTTACAGGACACATTCTCGTTTGAAGATTTATCTGTGGACTTCACCCAAAAGGAATGGCAGCTCCTGGACCCCAGTCAGAAGGACTTGTACAAGGATGTCATGTTGGAGAACTATAGCAGCCTCGTGTCACTGGGTAAGGCAGCTTCCCGAGGACCACCTGTGGGGCCCAGCACCTTACTGTTTGAGTTGCTGAGAGCTCTGTGGCTTCTGAAATCTCTAATGGTTTTGGACCTGAATTTAGGGGATTGAAAGTTCCCTGCACTATGACAGTAGGGAAGGCGTCTACATCTCACCCTCCAATAATGAAGACTTATTTTCATTGTGCAGCTCTGAAACTTATCAGGATGGTGGCGTTGGTAGCAATAGTGGTGAGCACCTAATGCAAGAAACTTACTGTATTTCACATACTGTTCACATGTGGACTTATTTACAGAGCAGTTTTGTATGGCAGGTTTAAGTAACTTTCCCAAGGACTGACAGCTGGTAAATGAAAGGGCCTGGATTTGAACCCAGGCAGACTGGCTCCAGAGCCTCTGAAGAGTGTAAAGGTTTTGGATTTGGATTATAGAAGTCAAAGATTTTCATTTTTTTTTTTAGATTTTGTTTATTTATTTGACACAGAAAGAGATAGCAAGAGAGGAAACACAAGCAGGGGGAGTGGGAGAGGGAGAAGCAGGCTCCCCACTGAGCAGGGAGCCCGATGCAGTGCTCAATCCCAGGACCCTGGGATCATGACCTGAGCCAAAGGCAGACGCTTAACGACTGAGCCACCCAGGTGCCACAGAAGTCAAAGATTTTTAGACCCCAGTAGCCACCAGGGAGACCGTTGCCTTTGAGAATTACTCCGTTGATACACCAGTGAGTAGCTTCACTGTCCCCCTGATGCCAGACCTTGCTCATTCTTCAGAGGCCCTAAAGCCCAAGCAATCGGGGCCATGGCTTTTGTTTTCCCCTGAACAGGGTACGAAGTTATGAAACCTGATGTCATCTTCAAGTTGGAGCAAGGAGAAGAGCCGTGGATCGGAGATGGAGAAGTTCCAAGTTCAGATCGTCCAGGTGGGTGTGAGAACCAGCCAGATGCGGGAGGCAGAAAGTCAGTCTCAGCTGGTCAGTGGGTTGACTTCTGTGAATTGTGCTTTGCTTTGGAGAGCTCTCTTTAAGATCTGTAAACCTTTAGTGGTGATTCAGAACAGGTGACATGAGCTACTCAAATAAGTCACATTTAGATGTGGCTTCTTTGCTTGTAACTTAAAGCAAAATATTTACAGCTTGTCTAGGCCATGAATTATTCCCTTTCAAGTCTGGGACTTTGACTTCTTGTTTGGTATTCTGACATGTTTAATCTCCTTCTGTCCTCTGTTCACTTCTGCTTGTACCTTCGGGAGGTTTCCTTTGCCCTCGTTTGGGCGTCTGATGCCCAGAGAAGTGCCCTGTGGAGCAGAAAAGGAAGTCCTCCCTTATTCCTCCCAAACAGTGGTCCTTTTCCTCCTTTTGTAAGATTGGCTTCTGCTGTACTTTACCTGTAGATTAGACCCCTTGGAGTGTATTGAATGTTCTCTCTTGCATTCTTATTATTGAAGTCTCTTGCCCTTTGGAAACTATCTTTTTTTTTTTAAAGATTTTATTTATTTATTTGAGAGAGAGAGAGAGAGAGCGCGCACGAGAGGGAAGAGGGTCAGAGGGAGAAGCAGACTCCCCATGGAGCAGGGAGCCCGATGCGAGACGCGATCCTGGTACTCCAGGATCATGACCCGAGCCGAAGGCAGTCTGCTCAACCAACTGAACCACCCAGGTGCCCCTGGAAACTATCTTTTTAACTTAACTCCTCAAGTCACACTTAAAACTAGGCTTGATGGGTCTAGAGTCTTACCTTTTATAAGTGTTCTCAAATGATACCTTGTATTTCAGTTCCTAAAGCAGCCAGCTCTCTGATCTGTCATACATCCTTACTCATCTGTGTGACACTGACTTCAGGTTCCCGTGGAAGCAGACCCTGAGATACGTATCTGAGTGCCAAGAATTTACTGTACTGGGAGAAAGAGCAGTGAGGTGGGGGTGGAGAGGGATTGGCGGTGTGCATGTTGGAAGGGGTGCTGACCCATGGCGGCTGCTGGGAGCCCCTCTGGGGCCAGGAAGCTGGTCACCTGCTAACTCCCATCTCTCAGGGTGTGAGCATTGCCCTGGGGGTGTTAACTCTCCAGAATGTCCAGAATCCCTGCATACAGACCAGGCATGCCATGTGTGGCTTAAGGATTGTTTTGGGCAGAGAGATGTGGGTGCCTGGGGTAGGTCCCACAGTCTGCCCAGGGTGTCCCTGTAAATGTAGCTGAGGTAGCAGAGCATCTGTGGCCTCTTCCTCCGGGACCCACAGTCTGAGTCTGTGTAGGCCATCAGCTGTTTACCCTTTCCCCCCACTTCATGGTCAACGCCATTTAAACGTTTCTCTGTGTTTTCACATGTAATATTTATTCTCTGCATCTGAATGTTTGATTGTGCTTTATCTTATCCTTTCTGCATAAGCTCTGTTTTTGCTGCATTCATACTCACAGAATGTTCCTTGACTCTTCCAGCTAAATTTTGCTCACTTTTTTTTGGAAGTCCCATCCCAGACCTGATCACAGTGTGTGTAATGTTCTTTAGTTGGTTGGTTCCCTGAGCTGTGTGCACACATAAACACAAGGTTTATAGTTTATATCCACTTATGTGTCAGACAATATTTATGCAATAAGCCCATTGTTTTAATTCAGGTGTTTTTAGCCTGGTGTGCCTTAGATTACCTGGGCATTTTTTTTCCCCAGCAATAAGCATTATGGATGCATTATCAGCAAAATTGATTTAGTAGAGTGGTGTGTATGTAGTTTTAAAATGGAATATTCTAGAACTGGAGTTTGTAGTTTGAGAAACCTCTTGTGATTTTTATGTGCCCCTCATTCATTGATAGCATCCACTTGAGTGACGACTAAAGATGATTAAAAATAAAAGACCTAGAAAACACCTTACAGAAACGTAGAAATTAGTGAAGAAGTTAAGACATTTGTGGGGCGCCTGGGTGGCTCAGTCTGTTAAGCACCTGCCTTAGGCTCAGGTCATGATCCTGGGTCCTGGGATCAAGTCCTGCATTGGGCTTCTTGCTGGGCAGGGAGCCTGCTTCTCCCTCTGCCTCTGCTGCTCCCCCCTGCTTGTGCTCTCTCTCTCTGGCAAATAAATAAATAAAATCTGTAAAAAAAAAGTTAAGACATTTGCATTTAGGTTTTTTTTTTTAATTCAGGATTTAAATATTGGACATTTATGTTTCACTGCAACATAGTCAAAGTTACCTAAACAAGGTCTGTGTGTCAGGGTCCTCAAGACCACCGCATTCGGAGAGTCGCTAGGAGGACTCGGTATCGTTGTCCATATGGCTAAGACTTATTACAGTGACCTAATGACAGCTTCCTCACCAGGGAAAGGGCAAAGCAGAGTCTGGAGGAATCCGGGTGCAGGTTTCCTGTGCTGCTCCCTCCGTGAGGGTCACCCCAGCAACAAAAATGCAGTAATGTGTGTAGTGTTTCTGCCCAGGAAAGCTCACTGAAGACCCAGCACCCAGGGACCTTGCCTGGCCACAGCAGCATTGCAGACTGCCAGGACAGCAGGTGCTCAGCACACACCACCTTGTTGGCACACAGTCCAGGCACAGGTTGCCCCTCTTTATCAGCTGGGAGTGGTGGGAACACTGTAGAAACCAAGCTCCAAATGGCAGCCAAGGGCTACCTTGCAGTTGTGTGTCGTAGAAAGTTGAAGAGGTAGTGATGTCTCTTACTCTTCAGGTATTGTGCTGGGTGGTGTGGGTACAATAGTGAGCATTAGAGGTCAGTTCCCTGCCAACACAGTGCTTACTTTCTCATGGGAGGGTAAAACTAATCAAGTTGGCAGATAACCAGGGTAAAGCCCAGACCCTGAAAGTTCTATTATAGAAATAAATGAGGAAGATGATAATAGGGGAGAGAGTTTGTGGCTCTGCTCACGCTGCCATAACAAGATCGCACAGATGGGTAAACAGCAGCAAGCCATTCGCACAGTTGTGGAGGCTGGAAGTCCAAGGTCAAGGTGCCTGCGTGATTGGGTTCTAATGAGCGCCGTCTTCCTGGTTTGTAGACAGCTGCCTTGGAGCTTTGCTGCCACATGGCCTTTCTTTGTGCAGGGAGTGGGGGGTGGCGAGGCCTCCTCTGGTGTTTCTAATAGGGATACTAATCCTTTTGGATCAGGGCCCCACCCTTATGATCTCATTTAACCTTAATTGCGTTGAGATTCCATTTCCAAATACAGCCACACTGAAGGTTAGGGCTTCAACATAGAGTTTTGGGGGCGGGCAGGTAGGGGGGACGCATAAACATTCAGTCCACAATATGGTCACGTGGAGAAGCCAGTTCTAGACATGAAGACCAAAGTAAGTGAGCTATGTGAATTGGGGGAAAGTCTTCCCTAAATGAATGACAGATACGAATGTATTAGGTCAGGAAGGGGCTTGGTGACCTCAGGAAAACGGAGAGGAAGCCTTTGCGTCTGGGGCTTAGTGTGCCAGGGAAATAGAGGCTGGACTGTGTGCGAGACCTAGGTCATACATGGACTTGTAAGCGGTAGGCAGGTGGTTAGACTGATTCCAGTAATTTTAAATAAAAATAGTTATCTGATTTACACTTTTTTAAAAAAGATTTATTTATTTGAGAGGGAGCACGTGTGAGTAGGGGAAAGGGCAGAGGAGTTGGAGAGGGAGAGCGCCGAGCCCTGTGTGGGGCTCAGTCCCACGACCCTGAGATCATGACCTGAGCCGAAACCAGGAGTTGGACACTTAGCCAACTGAGCCACCCAGGAGCCCCCTGATTTACATTTTTAGAAGTTTGACCTAACTGCATTGTGGAAAATATAATGGGAAGCAGGGAAACCAGGTGGAAGGCTATTTCGCTGAGCTAATGAGATAGATTGAAGTACAGCCCGGAAGAGTGGTAGAGAGAGTTGGGGTATCTGGGAGATACCACAAGTGACCAAACATAAAGCAGTCCCATTTTGCTAGTGGGAAAAAAGTAAAAATTTCCAAATGTGTATTTAGTCTAACAATGTAATATTTAAAGTAATGCAAAGTTGTAAGTTTAATTTACAAATATTTCATTTTCTGCTCTCACATCTCCCATTACTACTTTATTCAGACTCTTAACCTCCATCTCAAAGCTAATGTTTCTGTACTGGACTCTGATTTTAACTGCCAGACCTCTTTTTCCCTCATCCCCTATCTTAGGGTATTTTCAGTGAAAGAACATACGGATCTGGGGTGTGGGGGGCTCAGTCGTTGGGCGTCGGCCTTCGGCTCGGGTCATGGTCCCAGCTCCTGGGATCGAGCCCCGCCTCGGGCTCCCTGCTCCGCGGGAGCCTGCTTCTCCCTCTCCCACTCCCCCTGCTCGTGTTCCCTCTCTCGCTGTGTCTCTCTCTGTCGAATAAATAAATAAAATCTCAAACAAACATACAAATCTTAAGGTTTTGTGCCTGAACAGGTTAAATGAAAGATGATGTGTTCCATGAAGTGGCTTTCATGGTAATAATGTTGAAAATGTGCTTGGAAAGTTCAAACTCCCAGAAAATTTAAAAATGGGGAAAAGTTCACAAACGATTCCTCATTCTTCAAGCTTGAAATGGCTTCAGTAGTTCCTCTGTCAAACCTGTTAATTTTCTGTCTTCTTCTTCCCATTAGAATGTAAACTTTGCAAGGTCAGGGGCTGACTGTCTCCTGTCCCCAGTGCCTCGCACACTCAGTCAGGGTGGAGGAAATCCACTCCTCAGAATATTGGATCAGTTCTTCTTCCACCCTCCTTTCTTTATTCCTCTTTGGTCTTGATGAATTTTTTACATTTTATAAACCTAGATTTGACAACAACCAGAGGTGACTTAATATACTGCCTGTGTCTTATTCCTATTTATAGCATTTTCTTTTCTTTTTTCCCCCAAATACCCAGAGGATAGATCTTATACTTGGGACTGAGAGACAAAGCATTCATCCCCGCAAAGAGCATTGCTGGTTTTGTATTCTGTAAACACAACCGTAGAAGAGGTGCCTGGGGGGCTCAGTCAGTTGAGCGTCCAACTCTTGCTTTCAGCTCAGGTCATGATCTCAGGGTCATAGGATTGAGCCCTGTGTTTGGGCTCCACACTCCTCGGGGAGTTTGCTTTTCTCTCCCTCTGCCCCTCCTGCTTTTGTGCACGCTCGCTCTCTCTCTAAAATAGGTAAGTCTTAAAAACATAACCATGGAAGCATTCACAGGGTTTTCTTTCTTTATAGAACAAGTCTTGCAAGTAGATGGTCACATGACATGGCACCAGGATAACCAAGAGAAGCTTAGAAATATGAAACAAGATCATGAATGTGATACATTTGGAAAAAAATTCAATCTGAGCATAAACTTTGTTCCTTTAAGGAAATCAAACAGTGAAGATGACGTAGATGGATTACTTTTAAAACATCACTTAGATTTACTCATTCCAAAAGCAGATTACGGAAAAGTGGAACCACACGGCTTAAGTGTATTTGATAAATTGTTTCTCCATACCAAGCCTGAGGAAACTAATACTTGGTTAAAATACTATGACTATGATAAATATGATAAAATTAGCTCTAAGAAGTCACAGATTATCATATATCATAGAACTCGTTTAGGGGAGAAACTCTATGAATGTAGTGAATGTAGGAAACGCTTCAGTAAGAAATCAAGTCTCATTAAGCATCAGAGCAGACATATAAGAGAGATCGCCTATGGCTGTGGTAAGTGTGGCAAAACCTTTCCCCAGAAGTCACAGTTTATTACTCATCACAGAACTCATACAGGAGAGAAGCCTTATAATTGTGGCCAGTGCGGGAAAGCCTTCTCCCAAAAATCGCAGCTCACATCCCATCAGAGAACACACACAGGAGAGAAACCGTATGAATGTGGTGAATGTGGGAAAGCCTTCTCCCGGAAGTCACATCTCATCTCACATTGGAGGACACACACAGGTGAAAAACCCTACGGGTGCAATGAATGTGGGAGGGCCTTTAGTGAGAAGTCAAATCTTATTAATCATCAGAGAATTCATACAGGAGAGAAACCTTTTGAATGCAGAGAATGTGGGAAAGCTTTCAGTAGGAAGTCACAACTTGTTACACATCACAGGACTCACACAGGAACAAAACCCTATGGATGTAGTGATTGTAGAAAAGCCTTCTTTGAGAAATCAGAGCTCATTAGACATCAGACAATTCATACAGGAGAGAAGCCCTATGAATGCAGTGAATGTCGGAAAGCCTTCAGAGAGCGCTCGAGTCTCATTAACCACCAGAGAACTCACACAGGAGAGAAGCCTCATGTGTGCATTCAGTGCGGGAAAGCCTTCTCCCAGAAGTCACATCTCATATCCCATCAGATGACACACACAGGAGAGAAACCCTTCGTATGCAGTAAATGTGGGAAAGCCTTCAGCAGGAAATCTCAGCTTGTTAGACATCAGAGAACTCACACAGGAGAAAAGCCCTATGAATGCAGTGAGTGTGGGAAGGCTTTCAGTGAAAAATTGAGCCTTACTAATCATCAGAGAATTCATACAGGAGAAAAACCCTACGTGTGCAGCGAGTGTGGGAAGGCCTTTTGTCAGAAGTCACATCTCATATCCCATCAGAGGACTCACACGGGAGAGAAACCCTATGAATGCACTGAATGTGGGAAAGCCTTTGGTGAGAAGTCAAGTCTTGCAACTCACCAGAGAACTCATACAGGAGAAAAACCATACGGTTGTAGGGATTGTGAAAAAGCCTTTTCTCAGAAGTCACAGCTGAATACTCACCAGAGAATCCACACAGGAGAGAAACCTTACGAATGCAGTCTTTGTAGGAAAGCTTTCTTTGAGAAATCGGAGCTAATTAGACATCAAAGAACTCACACAGGAGAAAAACCATACGAATGCAGCGAGTGTGGGAAAGCCTTCAGGGAGAAGTCAAGCCTCATCAATCATCAGAGAACACACACAGGCGAGAAACCCTTTGAGTGCAGTGTGTGTGGTAAAGCCTTTTCTCGGAAATCACACCTCATACCACATCAGAGGACACACACTGGGGAGAAGCCCTACGGCTGCAGCGAATGTAGGAAGGCCTTTTCTCAGAAGTCACAGCTTGTTAATCACCAGAGAATTCACACGGGAGAGAAGCCCTACCAGTGCCACGAATGTGGGAAAGCCTTCTCCCAAAAGTCACAGCTCATTAATCACCAGAGAACTCATACAGTGAAGAAGTCCTAGGAATGGAGTCAATACTGGTCTTTGAGATCTCACTGTTTGTACTTCAGAAAACACGGTTAGGGTAAACCTTTCCGATAAATAGTTGCATCACACTGTGTGTCCGTTTGGGTAATCTTTTAGGGTATGAACTCTGAGGTTATGTAGGGAGAGCTTTCAGCAGGTTAACCTGTTCATGGAAGACCCCTGAGAGTAGAATGAGCCTGTGGGATGCAATGGATTTCAGAACCTGTCAGACATAAAGTGGGAAATGAACAGCAACGAGGAGTACAGTAAACATCAGAAAGCCTTGCAGAGGTCACACCTCATTTGCTGGTGGAAATATCCCCACTGGGGTAAACCCTAGTCCAGTAAATGAGGAAAAACCCCATGAACGCAGCAAGTGATGTCATATTTTCGTCAAGAAGTCACAGCTCGTTGTGCATTAAGAAAATACTCTCAGGAATGAAGTTCAGTGAAAATGCTAAATATGGGACAATCTTCAGCAGGTAATCCAACCGTATTGTATTTTGGGGGAATTCATATTGTGGGTAAAACTAACAATTTAAAGACCTTGGAAACGTGCCCCTAGAAATAAGGCTATAAAGGGAAGCCATACATTTTTTTATAGACGGGGTTATCAAAAATGCCCAGTGCTAATGGTTGATATGTTCACTCTGAAGAATGAAGTTTTAAAAATATGTGAATAAATTGAGTCATTGAAACATCAAAATAAGACATTTCTCAGTGGTATTTATGGCTTATTTTCCTGTGTCACACAGTGTGTCTCATATTTTGGAATCACATATGCTAATGTAATTGCAAGCCTGAAATGCACATACCATACCTGGTGGTGCCTCTGATGTCAGGACACACCATGTGCTGCTGGTTTTTCTGTTTCAATGATACAGTAAAAATGGCAACTAAAACAGCACATCTTACTGCGAAATACGCAGCTTAAGTGATAGCATCACATCCTTTTTCCTTACGGCTTGTTGGCATATAAAAGGGGTTTGTTGTTCCTGACCTTTCTCTTCAGTTACAAAAGCCAACATTCTGCAACCTGAGAGAAACAATTTAAATAGAACCTGGTTAATAAGTATTCAAAGGCAGGAACCACAACCCAGCAATAGTGACTCGAGTGAACGAAAGAAAGCAGGTATGTGAACTCGTCACTCAGCACTCAGGCTAAACGGCAGTTGTGCTGTGCAAAGTCTTGTTCCCATTCGGCTTGGTGCCTTTGTGCTTCAAGTAGGGCATGTATGTTACTTCACTCTGATGAAATACCACGATGCTATGTGCTATTACATTTTTGGCATTTCTTAAGATATCTTGTAAAAAAAAAAAACTAGATGGAGAAGCCAATTTAAGAGTCACTGTTCAGAAAATGTAAAATACAGATTTTTGTGGTGAGAAATATATTTTTGGTGTATTCAGGGAAGCCTGTTTTGCCTTCCTGCGAATTTCTGTGACTACTGGATAGGTGTTAGGATTTAGGATTTTCGTTGTTGCATCATTTGAAATATTATATGTTTCACCTTTTGTCCCCAGTTGCATCCTCGACGTAGAGACTCCCGCTGTGAACTCTTCATGATGAGTAGGGTTTGCTCTGGCAGTGCATGAACCACCCTTTAGCGTAGGTAGAACTTTGCAGTGATCTTTACAGTGTTGCTTGACAAAGTCAACAGTATTCTGTGTATGATGGTGAAATTGAGAAAAGTCCAACCCTGACCTTGTTACCAGACTCGGAAAGATCATGACTTCTCTCATACACAAGTCGCTTTTATCAGTACGGTGTATTTCACCTTTGATTTTAGCAGTATTTTTTTCCCTTTAGTTACCAATTTTAACATTGTTGAAAAATTGGGACTTAAAGAGTAATTTTCTAAACCACTGCACCAGGTTAAAAGTATCTGAGTTCCCAAATTTGTATTCATATTCAAATGTATGGACTTCCTACTCTTCTCCCTAATACCTGAACTTGATTTTTATCAACTTCATTTCTAAGAGAATAGTGACGGGGTGATTCTTTGTAGATTTTCCCATTTTTAAATTTTCATCTATCATGATTCTCTTCCCTAGTCCCAGAGATTGATTCATTAGTTCTTGGATTGAGTTTGGAGTCTGTTGTATAAAAGTGACCTAAGTTTGCTCACTTCAATTCTAGATTATCCCATTTACTATTAAGTAGTTAAACCCAGTGCTTTCCTCACTAAATAATAGAACTTTGGCACTAGCCCATTGGTGTAATACTCAAGAGCAGGTTTTTTCCCTGAGTGCCAGGTAGCAGTCCTCGGGAGGGCTAAATGCTTGCAGCAGAGGTCTCATTTATCAGAATACCTTATGTGGAGGCCCAGCTATGTTGTGTAGAACTCACTAGGGACTCTTTCTGAAGTCACAAGAGGGCTTTGATTCTGAAATTAGATATTTCTAGTGTTTGTCTTTTAAATTACCTTGGTGAACCACAAAACACATGTAACCCCACGTTTCCTCTCACAAATCCCACATCAGGAAGAAAACAGGTTTTAAAGTTAAGAGGGATTTACGTGCAGCTCCCTGGAGCACAATAGGTTATGTTGGTTGAATGTGTAAGGAACCCGGGTGGAAGGAGCAACCTCTCTCCTCTCTCCACCGAGCTTACCCCACTGGCCTGGAGACAGTCCTGCAGAGGATAATTCCTATTGTATTCCTTCTACTAAGTGTGAATTTTGGGACCTGTCCCAGGAGTGCCTTCTGTTCAGCCTTTATTTGTGGGCTTTGGTAATGAGACAAAGTTATCTCTGTGTGGATCCATGTGTTCTGGATATTTTAATTTCAAGACCGGCCCTTGTAGAGCCTGGGTGAAGGAAACCCAAAGAATATCTGATTTATTCAGCAATACCTGTATCAAATAGCAGAATATGGATCAGCAGGCATTTGGAATCTACACGTGAGGCCTCCCTCATTGGTTGCTTATTCCAGCAGAATATGCTCAGGTTGTTGATTTCACCGAACTCCTGAGTCTGCAAATACTGTACCAACAAGCTGGCCTGGCCCAAGTGTGGATGAGCTCTCCCCACCATGACCCTCATCCATATTCCACAGTTAGTAGTTATTTTAAGATGCAATTCTGATTATGCACTTCTCTGTTGAAAAACCACGTGGCTAATTGTGGACTTAAAGTGTACTGTCCTCACCGTAGATGAGGACTTCTATACGAATCCAGCCTATCCGTCATTTCTGAATATCTTTCTTCCTACACAATACTTTTTTGGCCTCCTTGAACTACTTGCAGTTCCTTGAGGTTGCTACAGTTTAATGCTTTTCCCAACTTTCTGTCCCTGAAATGCGTGCTCCTTGTTAATGCCTGTCCACACTTTATGGACATGCACACGTGTTTGTCACTGATAATATAACCTGTAACATGTCTTCCATTAGAAAGCTTTTGGAAAGCTGGGACTACCTTCTTTGTATAGTTTTAGAACTGAAGCTGTAACATCGAAGCGTGGGTGCTCTCGGTGGCCCCCCCACCACGTGGGGAAGCATCGTCTACGGAAAGAACAAGAATGAAGCCATGGACAATCACGCTCCAGGATCTGGATCTGCTGCTTCTGGTCTCGATGTCCTGGTTCACCGCTGCCCTCTGCCCTTTTCATGCCTGATTGTCGCATCTTCTGTGAGATATCCCAAACATCCTTGTAATAAATTCTCATGTTTGCTTTGGCTCATTCAGGTTGTGTTTGTTACTTAAAACCCAAATATTCCTCACAGAGGAGGTCAGGCTGTATCATGACTTGGATTCTGGAAGTGGACCCTGACAAGTTTGGAATGCAAGATGCTCTTGGAGGATCAGCAGCTGTGAGGTGGAGGGAGGGTAAACAGCGGAGGGTGGGTCAGAGGAAGAAGGCTGCACAGAAGTGGTGGAGACCCTGGCCACGCCGGTTGGAGCTCTGAAGCAAGTGCTACTCAGGAGTGACTCGTATGGGGCCCCAATGGTCAGGTCTCTGCAGCCCTGAGGTGTTTTCACCAGAGAAGGGGATCATCCATGTCAGGCAGTGTTGTTTGTTTGTTTTTTAGCTGAGACTAACTCCACAAAGGCCAGCCACTGGAGGCAGCCTGCTGACCACTCTCCCTGCCCCTGGGCAGCAAGTCCTTCCTTGGAGGGGGTCGGGCAGCCCATCTCTGTCACCACAGTCCAGCCCTTCCACTGCTGAGCCCCATTTTCCCAGCATTGGGTCTGTCTGAGGAGAGATTGAGGAAACAGGTCAGTAGGACCGACGGGTCCCCACTGGTGGTGTTCTCTCTCACCAGGGAGCCATTCTGGGGCCTCTGCTGGCTTTGGTGGCTCACCTCCTTCCTGAGGGGTGTGAGCCATAGTTACCATGCCCTCCCATGACCCAAGTCGATGGTAAATGCAAGAAGCACCTAGGTGCATCACCTGAATCCATTCATTCCTCCTCATCCTGTTGTGTAAGTAACCCTACCCCCTTGTGATGCATCAGGAACCCCGACAAAAAGAGTGACTCCTGACCTGCTGGCTCCTGGCCAAGAGGAGCACAATGCCCACACTCTACCTGTAGCTTGCAATTAAGTAGAAAATTTGCTCTGTTTCCTGGTGAAAAGTGTGTTCCCTTTGGGGATCAAGACCTGTAACCCTGCAGAGCCCAGAGCTGTGGGTATGGGAAGCACCAGGTGCCCTGGAGGTATACATTGGTAATGGTGGTGGTGGTATGCAGACCCGTGTCTTCTGCTTTGGGGACACAGCACCACAAAAGGTCTTCTCAAGCTCATAAGCTGCATTTGGAAGGATGGCACCCTGTCCCTACAGAATATTGCTTCTGAGCTCGGCATTAGCTGTAGCTGGACCCTCATGAGGCCATTCCAGCTTTCGACAGGAGGTGAGTTATGTAATAAATCCAGCGTACCCTTTTGTTCTGGGCATATTCTTGCACCCCTTTTGCTGCAGAGTGGTTCTTTCTGGTCTCATACAGTGTATGAGGGATCCCATACTGTTCAATCATTTTGTAAGCCTTTTTTTTTTTTAAGATTTTTGTTTGAGGAAGACAGAGCAAGCACAAGCAGGGGGAGTGGCAGAGGGAGAAGCAGGCTCCTTGCCGAGCAGGGAGCTCAATGCAGGACTGGATCCCAGGACCCTGGGATCATGACCTGAGCTGAAGGCAGATGCTTCACCAACTGAGCCACCCAGGAGCCCCTATTTTGTCAGCCTTTGGATAGTGGTGCTGGCTGAGGTACTGTGGGCAGAAAAGAAAACCCCTACCTGGATTGTGTTTTTTCCTGTGAGATTGGTGGCCTTTTCAGGCCAAAATTGTCAACTTGACACCAAGTGCCAGTTAGTCTCCTCAGGGAATGGTGCTGTACTGGGGGCTCAGCCCTGGTTCTCTTGGACATTCGCTAATGGCAGTAGCCAAATCAACCCTGTGAGATTCTGTGCTATTGGACAGATGGGCACTCGGCAGTTTGGATTAACCCTTGCACGGGATGCCTGGTCTTTGGCTAAGGGTCACCATAGTAGGGAAGGCAAGAGGGAAGTCTCTGAAACTTACTCCCCAGATAGGATAGTACATAAAAAAAATACTGCCCTTGGGGGAGGAGTATAGGAGGGGGTGGCAGAGGTTAGTGCTACTCTAAAAGACCTAAATTAGGATACATTGGCAGAGTTCCTATCACACCGCTATCTACTTTAGTAGCTCGGGCTTTTTAGAAGCCCAGCAAACCATGCAGACTACACTGACTACAAACTACAGACAAGTTCAACCAAGTAATAGTCCTGCTTGCGGACCTGGCACTGTTTTCTCAAGTTCTTTTTTTCTTTTTAAGACTTTATTTATTTGACAGAGACACAGCGAGAGAGGGAACATGAGCAGGGGGAGCGGGAGAGGGAGAAGCAGGCTTCCCGCGGAGCAGGGAGCCCGATGCGGGGCTCGATCCCAGGACCCTGGGACCATGACCTGAGCCGAGGGCAGACGCCTAATGATCGAGCCACCCCGGCGCCCCTGGCGCTGTTTTCTAAAGCAGATTGATGTGCCCTCAGGTACATAGGGTACAGACTTTGATTTGACAAATGCATTCTTTTTATCGCGCTCAGGAAAAGAGATCAGAAGATGTCTGTGTTAACACGGAGCGGGCCACATTATACATTCACAGTTCGCCCCAGGGCTGCTCTAACAGTCTGAAGAGGTCCAGACTATCTGGACCTAGTCTGGTAACAGTGCAATTGTGCTCATCCAGCAGGATGACGGAGAGGTGGCTAGCACGTTGGAGACCCTGACACCCCAGGTACATTCCAGGGAGAGGTGACAAGCCCTGAGAAGCTGAGCAGCTTACTGCAGAAGATAGCATGTGACTCACATTGCTTTATATATATTATTCAGGAAGTTTTGGTAGGCTGTTTTTCTAGTAATTTATATCTACTGACATCAAATCATAGATACTATCTTTGGATCTCTTCTGTATCTGTAGTTACACTGAATTTTTCATTTATATTTATTTGTGAATTCTCTTTTATTCTCATTCCATCTTGGCAAACATTTGCCTATTTGTTAGCTTTTACAATGAACAAGATTTTGATTTTGTTGAACCATCAGTATCTTTGTTTCTGACTAGTTTATTATCTGAAATCTTGGACTTGACAGAGGCCCACACAAAGATAGGATGTCAGAAACTCCTTGGCATAATATATGGATTTAAGGAAATATGACGATACAGGTTTGTTATGAGTAATCCACTCACCAGTTCCCCCAATCTTGACCCCAAGAGGGGCATTGAGAAATTAGTGGGTAAAAGGAGCACCAGAATCCTGTAAAAATGTGCTTATTGTTGTGCTAGGGGCCAAGGGTGCCCCAAAGTGAGGTTCCTGATATCAAAGGAGACTCTAGGGTTCTGTGATGGAACAGGTTTAGTAGCAGAATTTAATTTTGAGAGACAAGGTGGCAGGGTTACTGTCATAGGCTCAAGGTCAGGATGGTAATCAGAATTGCTGTCCCTGCAGGCAACTTTGTAAGTGGCTAATTGATCCTGGGGTCTAAAGGGCCAAAATAGATGGACAGCCTATGAAAATCTTATCTCTATAATCAAAAATGTGGAAGCTGGATATCCTTAAGGATAGACCCAATAATTGGGTCACAAGTACGTACTGTAAAACTGGGGAATCATCAATAGGCCATTTTACCATCTGTCAGGCTGACTCCTTCTGTGTAACGAAGTAATATTAACACTTGTGGTCTTAACCATGACTATGACCCCATTGTTATACTTTCTTTGCTTTAAAATGGCCCACTGGACCTGAAGCTAGCCGGTATGCAGAAGATGAGTCACAGTGCCCATTGCTTTCTCTGATTCTTCTAGGTATTAATGAGATATAAAAATCAACCTGCTTTATGTCCATTACCAAAGTGCAGAGTTCAACGTAGTTACCTTTTCTCAGACTTCCTTGTCCCTGATGTTTGCTTTGTACCTGTCAGGATCCTAACAACCAGCCAAGTGAGTTATCCATGGTTTCAGCCATCCCTCCATCTGTGTTAAGTAAATTCCTCAATGCATTTCTTTATAGCTTTGACCACTGGGAAGGTTTCTTTCCCCTGGAAACCCTTCAGGGTTTCCACAAAATGAGGGGCTAATGTGTACCAGTAGTTCTTTCCAGATGATACTTGATGCATCTGTGAATTATTTCTTCTGCTGGGCTTTATGCACTTTCCAGGGCCTGATACCTGATACCAAATGAATCATTCTACGATACAGTGAATTCAGCAGCCATCAATGAACCTGATATCACATCTGACACCAGTTACAAAATCACATGGTGAAGTGTGCAGGCTCTGTGAGGGCCCTGTGGTGTACAAGACTCTGCTTGTCAAGAAGAGTTTTCTGTCACAGAAATTGGGGCTTTGCTACAGAACCCCAGAGATCTTTGCAACTACAACTCCAGACAGCATCCTTCTCTGCCTTGGATGCTTCTCACACAGACCTTCTGCACATTTTAAGTTCAGCTGCAGGACGCCTCACACCCATCCCGTGCCCGCCGCAGAGCCCTCTTGCTCTAGGTGCCACTCAAAATCAGAAGGTTTACAAACTACCCAAGTGTGTTCCATGCTGCCTTCCAACTTCAAATAGGCCCACCGAGCACTGTACCTTGGTGTGGTGTGGAGTGTGCATTTTAATAACTTGCCCTTTTTTTTTTCAAAGATTTTTATTTATTTGAGAGAGAGAATGAAAGAGAGAGAGAGCGTGCACTCACATGGCGGGGGGGTGTCAGAGGGAGAAACAGACTCGCTGCTGAGCGGGGAGCCTGATGCGGGACTGGAGCCCAATGCGAGACTCGATCCAGGGACTTTAGGATCATGACCTGAGCTAAAGGCAGTCGTTTAACCAACTGAGCCACCCAGGCGCCCCCATCTTGCCCTTTACTTTAAAGCCTTTACCTGGCTTTTGTCAGTTCACTGAACTTCTAAAAATGGCATTTACGTCAGGCCTCTAAGTCCTTATGAACTTTACCTGGCACCTTCTGGCCTGTGTCATCAGGGCATGGCGGGTATTTGCTACTTCTTATACGACAGTTCTATCTGTCCACCAGGCCACCCTCTCTGATCAATTGCTGCCTTCTGTGGTGTTAGGCATGCTATTTTTTTTTTTTTTTTGGTGTTCCTTTAACAAATTTTAGTCTATCCATTTTTTAAAAAGATTTTATTTATTTATTTGACACAGAGAGTTAGC